AGAGAGAGAGAGAGAGAGAGAGAGAGAGAGAGAGAGAGATGGAGAGGGAGACAGAGAAGGAACTTCTCTTTCTCTTTCCTTTTGAGGCAGTCATGTTTCTTAGACTGGCCTTGAGCTCACTATACAGTCAAGGGTGACTTTTACCCTCTGCTCCTTCTGCCTCCATGTCCTGAGTCCTGGAATTACAGATCTGTGCTGCCATGACAGGCTTATTTGGTGCTGGGGATGGAGCCCAGAGCTTTGTGTATGTTGGGCAAACACTCCGAGCTCCATACCTAGTTCTCCTCAAAGACTTTCTACTGAAAATGACTGTTTCTTTGTGCATCCATCCCATACCTTGCTGCTGTGAGATGAGCCGTGGAATACTCAGCATGCTCCATGGAATGCAGAACTACGGAAAACATTCCTTGTCCCTTAGTGCCAAATGCCCTCCTATATAGTTTTGCTCAGACACAGATGGGACCACAATCTACTTGAGAAACCCTTGAGTAAGACAGGCTGTTCAGGTTCTGTTTTCAACGTGTGTGTCTAACTCGTCCTCTTTCAGTAGGGAACATTTGTTTGCTGGGTACTTATGATGTGCCAGGCTCTGGGAACACAAAATGACTGTGATACATGCAGCTCTACCAGCCAGGCACCCACAGCAGGTAGCAGAATTGGAGAGCCATGTTTCATCCAACATAGGCAGTAGCTTTGTTTGGAAGTGTGGAGTGTGTGGGACTAATGCTCACAGTGCTGAATCAACGACTTCTCCACCTTCACTTCCTCAGAGTGGGGGAGTTAAGGAAACCACAGGAGTTTCACTAATCCCCCATCAATGGTGGCTGCTGCATTACTAGCCTCATTATTTCTTAATGGGACTTTGTTGATTATAGACTGCTTAATTACAGTGACAGATTCCCTCTTGGTTAGGGGGACCTGAGACAAGAAAATAAGGATGAGAAGTGAGGGGAGGGACTGTGACTCCAGACTATCCTCCACCTTCACCCACTGCTCTTCCACGCAGAGCAGGAGCTAGTGTGAGGAAGGAGTCTCTGACCATTGGTGTTGGGTCCCTCACCACAGACCTCCCTCTCCAAACAATAATAGCCTCAAGGGATAAGATGAAAATCAACTTTCCCTTGGAGCTGTTTTCTCCATGTGAATTTCTCCATTAGGATTTATTTATTTATTTATTCATTCATTTATTTATTATTTTGGTTTTTTGAGGCAAGGTTTCTGTGTGGCCCTGGTGGTCCTGGAACCTGCTCTGTAGACCAGGCTGGCCCTGAACTCACAGAGATGTGCCTGCCTCTGCCTCCCTGGTGCTGGGATTAAAGGTGTGAGCCAACACACCAGGCTATCTATTAGGCTTTAAAATGTTTTATAATGAGAAAGAGATAGCAATATTATGTCACTACTGAACCACACTTACAGTATGATTCTTGGAAACAGGAGGCACCTGATAGATGTTTGTTGAATAAGTGAAAGATTGCAGAAAGACAAACAGGCACTTGGAGGACAGGTTGCAGGAACACCTACCCTGAGAGCAGGTACAGGAATGCCTACACTGAGCAACCTAACTCAAAGACCCTTTTCAGGAAAGCACCCACCCACCCCACACCATGGAAAGCAGCAGATGCTGGCAGATTTGACACCCAAAGGCACTTTTAACATTACACATATATGTTAAGTGGCCAGGAGAAGAAAGAAGGGAGGAGCCCCCCCAACCCGCTGTGTGTGTGTGTGTGTGTGTGTGTGTGTGTGTGTGTGTGTGTCCATCCTGAAGATGAACAGGTGAAGAGGCAGAGGAAAGGAAAGGTGAAGACAGGTATTAAGCCAGCTGCAGAGACAGAAGAGGCATTTCAGGCACTAAGCAGAGCTCTGAGGATGGTCCAGAAGGGCACAGCCCCCTTTAGACAACATGATCTTGAACGAAGCTTACTTGTCAACCCTACCATACCTGTCGAAGACACTTTACTAGTCTTGGTTTAGTCAACTGCCGATGAGGTTTAGGCAACTGTTGATTAGTCATGCTAACGACATGAAAACGGGCAGTGACAAAATGGAGACAATCCGAGTTTTCGGTGGTGCTGGGGTTGAACCTGAGGCCTTGCACATATTAAGCATGCACTCTGCTCCTTATATCATGTTAATTTTAAAATCTGATTTTTATCCT